CCGAAGACTTGAAACTTTGTTAAATAACTGACGCCGGCACAGAACAGAACAGACCGCAAATAATTCAGCATTTCACCCCGGTCCGGTTGTACAGCATCTAAAAGAAAAGGCGCATCTGCGACATCAGAACAGGACGGACGAGGCTACGATCATTTATCCCTGAAGAGCCTTGATACCGAAGTTGGCGCCCATAGTCTGCACGTTGGTATTGTATCCGTAGGTAAGGTGCTGGGGGGTGATTCCGAATCCGGAGCTGACGTCGCAGACGCCGTCGCCGTAAATGCAGATGTCTAGCGTCTTGGACACCCAGTTGGAGGGGACGCCCTGGGTGAAAGCAGCCGAAAGTCCGCTGGCGCTGAAAGTTGTCTTGCCACCGTTGCCGTCGACATTGCAAGCGAGGTTGGGCTTGTGTTCAGGGTTGCCGATAAGAATCACACCCTTGACAGCGGTGAACGCCGCACCGGTCAGCTGGGGGAGTGCATTGCAGGTGGCAGCGGCACCCTGGGAGTAGCCCTCGAGAAGGAAGCACGTGTTAGGGTCGCGGGCCAGACCGGCCTTGACCTGGGCCACGATGTTGGCAGTACCCTGTGCCGAATTCTGGTCGATACCGGCTGGGTAGACGGTGTCATACTCGGAGCCACCGGAGACGGCAGAGCGAATGCGGGTGTTCATGGTTCGGAAGCCGACCGAGGGACCCTGAGGCTCGCTGGTACCACGAGTGTTGATGATGACGTATGACGAACAGCCAGCACGCTCCTGGAGCGGAGCAGCCTGCACGAGGCTAGCGGCGGCAAGGGCGAGGGCGGCAAAGGTCGACTTGAACTGCATCTTGAGATAGATCAGAAAAGAGGTTGGGGGATGGAGTATTCGATGGAGTGTGGTGGAAGCTTGGCTGGTTGAATGATTTGATGGAAAGAGGAGAGGCAAGGGGGCTATATATATGGTGACGGCTTCGGGACAGCTGCGGCAACAATCTGTGCAAAGAACATCTGCTTTGTTGCAGGAGGATACTGCTGTTGCCGACGTTGCCGGCAACAGTGCGCAAGCATCGAACGCAACGACCGGCATTGCGATGTTGCCGGATCGAGCAAAGCATCGTCCGAAAAGATTTGAACAGACTTCTCCCCGAACGGCTTGGTGCGAGCCGCGGAAGAACCGCACCGTAGCCCAACCTGGGTGGTTCCGGGATCCTAAACAGGCAGGAAGAGAAGACAGCGAGTATCAAGGGTTCACCTCTGGCGAAGCTGCAGGCTCACGAGACGCCGCGATGTGATTGGGGAGGGTGATCAGATTAACTCGGATTCTCGATCTTGTCGATGGAAGCCACGCTCGGCTATGTGGCTTGGCGCCAGTGCTTGCGGGCCAACGAAGTGGGACGGAAGTGCATGATCCGCGGTCGGTGGCTGACGCATGGGAGTGATCCGCCCTCGCTTGTGATGAGAGACGCCATCGTGTCGAGTCGCCTCGAAGCCGCGCAGCGATTCGATCGAAGATCGCAGCACCCTAAACTTCGACCAGGATGAGATGAGCAGAGCTTTGGCGCTTGGCGCTGGAAGGGAGGATAAACACTGCAGATGATGAGCACGAGTGTCTCGCGTAAGCCATCGAACGCACTATCGGACAGACTGCCGTACTTTACAGGTCGAGTCCACCGAGGCAGGCAAGGGAGTGTCTCAGCGGGAATTAGCACGTCGGGCTCATGAAGCGTTGACTGCGGCAACGAGTAAAGCGACTCGGGGTCAGCTGATTGGTGCTGGCCAATCTAAGCGCTCTGGTGGCCGCATGGACGCATGAGCAGCATCGTGCATGCATAGCTGGTGCGGCGTAGCTTGTGCGGCCGTGCCCGAGACTCCCTAAGATTTCCGGGGAATGACAAAGGCGGGGCAACGGGCTGTGAGAGCAAGCTTTTCCGCGGATTGAGACTGCGGATCGGCAGCGTTAAGGGATGAGCATTGATTGTGGCCACGGTAAAGTTGAAACGGAGACGGCGCCACCTGATGGGAGCGGCGCCAAACAGCGACGTTGGCATCGCCTGCCGGACGCGTGGTTGGGCTGCGGTGACAACGGAACGGGTGACACATGTCGGTTGTCACTTTAGCGCGGATTTTGGCGCACCCATATTCTTGCACTGTGTCCTTACCACAGGACCTAGCGAGCAGGAAGCGCTAAAGTCTTCCACGTTCCAGGGCTCGATGAACTGCGGCCGAGATGAAGCTACACGTGATGGAAAAGCGGCTCCGTGACTTCCAAGCGCGTTAGTTTGGAGGTTCGACACAATAGAGCAGCATTATGCACAAGCGTGAGTGAGACAAGAACTGTCAGATCTGCTAGAGCCAATGATGTTGGCCCTTGGATCGGGCAGCGCGTGGGTCCAATCACCGCAAATCAGGCTTGCTTGCTCGCTGCAGAAATCTGCTATTGGCTGCATATCATATGGAACTACGATTCTATGGAACGGAACGGCAACTCAATTCAGCGTCTTCATCCATGTCATCATGTTCCACAAATTCCTTCAAAGTGCACGTGTGACTGTGTGCTACCGCCGAAGGTACCGTCCTCCGAGCAGCGAAGCAATGCGAGAGGCACAGCAAGCTGGAGAATGCTCGAGACAGGCGGAGGTTGTCGGGTCGGCTTCCGGAAAGAAACCCGGGGCGAGTTGGCAGGGCAGCCGTTTACATCATCCTGACAGATTCACCTGCGTCGAGGGCAGTGCCGGCGCCATGCAAGTTTCGGCGTGGCGAGGCTTGAGTTGCTCCGGTAGCCGAATTCGCACTGGCTCGCTTGGACGTCGGGGTTCGAGCGCAGACACGCTAAGCGCATCGCCTCTGCACGCGTGCGTAACCGGCAACCTTTGTCCCCACCAGTGCGAAGCCGGGCAGCCCGGTCGAGTCAGAGCTGAGCCTAACCTTGGCGCTGGAGGACCGATCGAGCGACGACGCGGACTCGGTTGCGGATTGCTCAACGCAGAGCTTGGCGGTGCTCGATTGGGAGCTGCCTGAGCTGCGATTTTGGCTTTCTGGCGCCCACGCTTTGCAACCGTCAGTTAGGCTTTGGCTCTGCAGCGGAGAGAGGAAAGGCTGAGTGAGAGGTGGGGATTGAAAATGCGCCGATCCCATCGGAGAGAAAAACGCTGGAATTTAGCGCTGCACCTCTGTTCTGATGCCTGTTCTGACGCGCCCGTTGCAGGGTTGGCTCGATGCGCGTCGGCTGTCACAGCGGAACCTTCGGCTTCCTCGGCGCAAAGGAGCGAGAAAAAAGAGAAGGAGCCAAGCACGCGTTGGGCGCGTCGGTCGAGCATTTGACGCGCATGTCCAGCCGAGCCCCGACCGATGGCGGAACGCCCTCAGCTCACATCGTCCTTGAGCAATCCGGGCCAGGCTCGGCGCACCTTCGAAATGGCTGAAGACCGAAGACAGATGCGAGCTTTTGAGATCGAGTTGGGAGACGGCGCACGTCGAGTTTGCAGGAGGGTGCAAGAGGGGGACGGCAAAGCAGACGCAAAGAGCACGGAAGTCAAGCAGCCCCGGTTGCAAAGCCGTAATTCGGTGTCGCGCTGCGCTTTGTTCTATTCCTGTGCGCGCGCATTGCACCATGACGGTGCGGCTCGAGCTCATGCATCCCTCCTCCCCAGGCCTTTTGGCTACGGCTCGTCCACCGGCGAATTCTTCCTCCCCTCCGCCTCCTCCTCCTCCTCCACGCTTCATGCCGCGAGCCTTCTCTCGTCCACATCGCTTTCGCATAGCCGAACACGGAGCCCCCTGATCCTACTGCAACCCCAAATCACCCCCACACCCAAACATCCCCACCATTCCTGCGCTTTCCCTCACGCACCCCTTATGGCCACTCTTCCACCCACAACATCAGACACACTCCTGCACACACCCCTCACGCACCCGTCTCGCATAGACAGCCAGCCGGAGCCTCCACCTGCCGTCACGTTTTTGTCGTCTCTCTTGCTTTGCTTCTCGTCAAACAGGACCGCATGGTCAAACTTTCTGCGCTTACCCTCGCTTCCACTCCATCCTCTCTGGCGCCTGTCCTCAGACTCGCTTCCCACGCTTGATCCCTTTGTTTCGCTCTCCCATTGGCGGAACCTATCGGTGCTAGACGCTGCTCTCGTCGGTCGACCGCGTTGTCGAGCCTAGCCGATCTACCGTTCCGATTCTTGGCACTTCAACCGCCGCGCACATCCTTCGCTCAGCCTTCCGTACAGAACCACTCCGCAGACTGTCGGATGAATTGTAAGCGACCTTGACTTTCCCCACTCTGACTTTGCCACATCGGCGAATTCGCTTCCGCTGCGATCATCTCTGCCTAGCGGACGGTGCCCTTACAGCTTCCTTTTAAACCACCACTCTCCTGTAGAAAGGAATCTTCTTCCCCCATCGACCACTCTCGACGGAGGATTCCACCAAGATGAAGCTCTCCACAGTCCTGCCGTTGGCCGTGCTGGCCTGCGCAGGCTCTGGCCTCGCCGTCCTTTCGCCTGAGCCCGACTACCAACAGCTGTTCGCTGAACGCGACGTCGACGCCGCCGCCCAGTTCCTCGAGCGCAGACAGCAGGGTATTGGAGGCGCTGGTCAGAACGGCCCTGGCTACCAGACCGTCCCCAGCGTGCCGTTCAACGGAGACGACTCGCTCCCCTACTCGCCACCTTTCTACCCGACCCCTCAGACCAAGGGAACCTCGCAAAAATGGAAGGACGCCATCGGCAAGGCGCGCGAGTACCTCCAGCAATTCAACCAGACCGAAAAGGTCATTCTCACCACCGGCTCCGGATGGGAGCGTGGACCTTGCGTCGGCAACATCTCGCCCATTCCGCGTGTCGGCTTCCCCGGTCTTTGCCTCATGGACGGCCCCGCTGGCGTGCGAGGCACCGACCGTGTCACCTCATTCCCCGATGCCATCACCGCCGCCGCATCCTTCGATCGCGACCTCTTCTACAAGCGTGCCCATGCTCTCGGTGAAGAGTTCAAGACCAAGGGTGCCAACATCTGGCTGGGACCCATGATGAACGTCGCACGTACCCCCCTTGGTGGCCGTAACTGGGAAGGCTTCGGCGCTGACCCGTACCTGAACGGCGAGGGCTCGTACTACTCTGTCCTTGGCGCACAGGATGCCGGCGTGCAGGCCACACTCAAGCACTACATCAACAACGAGCAGGAGCACTTCCGAAACGAGGGCAGCTCCAACCTCGACTCGCGCACCGAGCGCGAGATCTACCTGCATCCTTTCCTCCGCGGTGTCCAGGCGGGTGCAGCTTCGGTCATGTGCTCGTACAACCTCGTCAACAACTCGTGGGCCTGCCAGAACTCGGAGCTGCTCAACAACCGTCTCAAGACCGAGCTGGAGTTCCCCGGCTACGTCATGTCCGACTGGGGTGCCCAGCACGCCGGTGTCGCTTCGGCCAACGCCGGTCTCGACATGACCATGCCTGGTGACGTGCTCTGCTGCAGTCTTCAGGAAGGCTCGCTCTGGGGCGGCAACCTTACTACTGCTGTCAACAACGGTTCGGTCGCCACCACGCGTCTGGACGACATGGCCACGCGCATTCTTGCCGGTTGGTTCTTGCTCGGCCAGGACCAGGGATATCCGAAGGCCAACTTCAACTTTTTCGACAAGAAGGACCCTGCCACCAACCAGCATGTTGACGCTACGGCCGACCACGACAAGATCGCCCGCGAGGTCGCCAGCGCAGGTACCGTGCTGCTCAAGAACCGCCGCAATGCTCTCCCGCTCAACAAGCCAGGCAGCATGGCTGTGATTGGCTCCGACGCCGGACCTCTGTACCAGGGAGCCAACTATTGGCCCGACCGCGCGCAGAACGGCGGTCTGCCTTACGGCACCCTCGGTCAGGGGTGGGGCTCCGGATCGACCGACTACTCGTACTTCTTCTCGCCCTACGAGGCGCTGCAGTCGCGCGCGCGCAAGGACCGCACCGGCATCGCGTGGAACTTCGACGACTTCAACCTGGCACAGAGCGTCATGATTGCCAACATGACCGACGTCGCGCTCGTCTTCGTCAGCGCTGAGAGCGGCGAGGGCTACATCACCTTGGACCGCAACGAGGGCGATCGCAACAACCTGACGCTCTGGAACCAGGGCGAGCAGCTCATCCGCAACGTCACGGCGGTCAATAACAACACGATCGTCATCGTCCACTCGACTGGCGCCGTCGACATGGAGAGCTTCGCCGAGAATCCCAACGTGACGGCGATCGTCTGGGCCAACCTTCCTGGCAGCGAGAGCGGCCGCGCGCTTGTGGATGTGCTGTACGGCGACTACAACCCCAGCGGTAGGCTGCCGTACACGATCGGCAAGAACCGCACCGACTACGGCACTGATGTGCTGTACTACAACGACACGGTCACGCCTCAGATCAACTACACCGAGGCGCTCAACATCGACTACCGCTACTTTGACACCAAAAACATCGAGCCCAGGTACGAGTTTGGCTTCGGTCTGTCGTATACCAAGTTTGCCTACTCGGGCGCATGGACGCAGCAGGTCGGATCGGCCGACAACAGCTGGTGGGGCTCGGCGAACGCCTCGACGGGTCTGCCCGAGTGGCTCTTCCAGCCCAAGTACGAGGTGACGTTCTCCCTCACCAATGCCGGCGACTGGGACGGCCACGAGGTGTGGCAGGCGTACCTCGAGTTCCCCAGGAGCGCGGGCGAGCCGCCCAAGGTGCTTCGTGGATTCGGCCGCGAGAAGATCAGCAAGTACAATACCAAGGAGGTCAAGTTCCACCTGAGCCAGTACGATGTGTCCACGTGGTGCAACGACAAACAGCAGTGGCTGCAGCCCGAGGGCAAGCTCAAGGTGCTCATCGGCGCTTCGTCGCGCGACATCCGTCAGGCCGTGGTACTCAACTGAGCCGCACACGCGCTCGATTGGGCCGCCGTGGATCGCGCCTTGCTTCGTCTTCGCCTTCATTCCTAGCTACCTTCCATGTAGCTGGACAGTCCCTTGCAATCGTCATATCATTTCACTACTCTTCTATACAAAGGAGAGAGCACGGAGTGGATGTGTAGCGTGTGACCGCGACAGGGTCCAGTTTGGATGGACCGCGTCAGGGAGAGAGTTTGGTATTTTGTGGGATTCGAAATTTTTCCCTTCCCCACATCTGCTGCGAAAGAAAGGCTCGACGGCCGCAGGGTTCTAGACCCCGATTCCCGAACTGACCTGCATCCTCCTGACATCCAACCATCATCACCACCTCGCTGCTTTTGACGCTCGGTTTTGTGCGTCGGGTCACCCGAGATATACCCACGCCTCGAGGCATCGCTTCGAATACTGCACCAAGGATCGATAAAGCCGCATAGACGCACTGCACATCGGGTGATACTTCGGCACGAGCGAGCATCGGCGCATCCGACGATTGGCTTGCCTGGCATCACGTTCCGCTCGTCTTTCGATAACACGCGGGATTCTGCTGCGCCAACGCCGCATCACATTCTCGGCGAGCTGCAATCTATCGGCTCATATCCACCTACCTGTCACCCTCGAGCTGCGCGCTTGTCGCCGCACCACTATTAGGCATCGAGTCTGCGGCAACAATGACTTCCGAGACGCTGCACGAGATCGGGGCGGGCTTCGAATGGAAGCCTGCGTATGCGGAGCAGCTCGCGCACATTGCGGATACAGACGAGTTCATCCACGACGACGAGTCGCATCCGGCTTCTTACGATTGGCCAACGCTGAAAGAGGCGATCAAGTTCCGCATCCGCGAGCACCTTCTGGAGACGTTCGCATCCGAGCGACCGCTGAATCTTCATCCTGCTGCGGCTCTTCTCAAGTCGGGCTCTGACGCGACATCGCAGACGGCTGTCGGCGTTGCTGCGGCAGCGAGCTCGGCAGACGAGCCAGTAGACGAGGCAGTCGGAGATGCGCAAGGCGCCAAGGACGAAGCGCAAGAGCGGGCGTCTAGTGAAGAAGAGGCGGAAGCGCGCGTAGGTCCAGCGGATATGCAGAACTTCTATCCATCTTCACGCGCACCTGCCTCCACCGTATCGCCGCTGAGCGCCGACGAAGTGACCAAGCAGTTGCGTCTGCTGTACGGCATGCTGGACGACTTTGACACGCAGCCGCCGTTTACGATCCAGCGGCTGTGCGAGCTCGTCGTCTCGCCGACAGGGCATTACAACAGTGGCGCCAAGTGGGTCGCGGCGCTCAAGCGGTGTCTTGCCGTGACGGCCACGCGCGATGCATTCCCCATCAGCCCGATTCAGAACGCCACGAGCGTGCCCAACGGACACGCGGACGAGGCCAAGTCGGACGTGTCCGAGCTCGAGATGGACCGGATGGACGGTCTAGCGCCCAGCACGGGCACACGGTCGAGGTCAGCCAGCGTAGCCAGTGTTGCGGATCCACTGTTCTCGCCGATTCCGTTCATCACCGAGGCGGCCGAGGCAGACGAGGCGGTTCCAGAGCTCGAGCTGGGTGGTGCGGATCGAACACATGCGGATGCGGTGCCGAGCGAAGTCGTCGACACCGCACCCCCCACCGCGGCTGCTGCGCCGGAAGAAGCCGATGTGGTTATGCCTGATACAACCGAAGAGGCCGGCAGCACGGCACAGGCGGTGGATGCACTCACACAAGCCGACGTCGAGCCTGCGCCAGCGACAGCCCCACTAGGCGTCCCACCCGGTGAAGTGGACGAAGTCGACAATGCAGCTGCCACCATCCACCCTCTCTCATCCACAACAGCTGCTCCACCAGCAGAACAGTCGACAGAGCAAGACGATGAGGAAGAAGCACGCTCCACCAAACGCCGCAAGAGCGTCGCCTCGGAATCAGATCCACGCGATTAAGCCAGACTTTTGCATCCATTTCTTCTCTGCGTGCGCGTGCCTGTGTGCAGTATGGCTACCTCAGTGACGTTTGCGTTGGTTCGGCGTGTCTGGAGTCGGAGTGAAGGCGTCTCGTGCAGTGTACCAGGACGAAAGACCTCGCCAACCTCCGCGCGACGGTGACGGTGTGGCCTTTGGCAGTCGTTGTGGCTGTGCGGTTGTTGCTGTGGCTTTCCTCTTCTTGGGCTTGATTCCTGGCGCGCGCGCGAGTCTGTCCTGCTGTGCACTTGGCTCGGCCGCTTTGGCAGCCTTCGTGTGCTTGGGCTTGCGGAATGCGGCCTCGGGCGAATGCGCGCGCTTCTTGCGCGGCGTTCCAATGATCTCCCGCATAGAAACAGGCGTGGGCGCGTCTAAGACCACCTCGACCTGCTGCGAAGGCGACTGGCTCGGAATCCACTCGGAGACCTCGGCTGTCGATAGCGAGTCTTCCGCCGCAGATTTTTCTACCGCGCGTTGCTTTCCGCGCGCTACAGCGCTCAGAGAGCCGAGCGCCCCGCGTTGGCCAGTGGGAGACGGCGACCGAGCCCGCTTTGATGGCGAAGACTGAAGAGTGAAGTATGAGAGAAGGTCGCGTGGACTTTTGCCGGAAGCGCTGCGTGATTTGGAGATGGCAGCGCGTGCAGCGAGTTGCGTTGAATTGGAAGAAGAATTTGCGGCAGCGGCTTGGCCGGACCTGGGATTTGGATTTGCTGCCGAGCCACTAGGCTGCTCCAGTCCGGGTGATCTGGACGTCCTGGAGAATAAGTCATCGATACGCCCACGGTTCAAGGCAGTGCTTGCCACTGGCACGGGCGACACTTCTCGAACTGATGCGTCGTCATCGTCGTCGTCTTCCAGCATCTCCACTTCGATTGGCGTGTCGTCGTCATCGCTATCGTGCATCTGCGCTTCGACGAGCGATTCGTCATCATCCACGTCGACCACGTCTGGAAGCAGCTCCTCGTATGCAGAGTCTGAGCTTGGTACGGCCTGCTTACCCGCTAAACGCGACGCTGATGTCGACTTTGCTGGCGAAGCCGTGCGCACAATCTCCACCCTGTGTTCGCTCTCCTCTTCCTGCGAAATCGCCGCCTCGGAGCGTTGAAGATCAAAGTAGACGCGGATCGTTCCACCCGTCGCGCACGTCACCTTGGCAAAGCGCGTGCGGCCCGCGCTGTCGATCTGCGTTTTGACGCACTCGCAATCGTTGACGTCGACCATGACGAGGCCACGCTCGCGCGCGCGATCCTCCTCGGCAAGCCGCTCGAGGTCGGACTGCCCTTCTTCAAACCTCAGCCACTCGCGCCGCTCCATGTCCGACAGCACGCTCAGCGCGCCCGGTAGAGGAATCTTGCACGAGCGCCCGGCACGCAGCTGTTGCGCCACGCTGTCGAGCCCTTCGGCATGCGGTGGGCGTCCCAGGCGCCCCTCGCCGACAACAGACTCGAGCTGCATGCGCCGCTGAGCTGCCTTGGGCCGTTGTGCCTGCAAAGAAAGCAGCTCCCGGAAGGTGACCTTTCGTCCGGCAGGTGGAGGGATCTGTGGGCTGGTCGGAGGTGGAGCGGGTTCGAAGCCGAGCGCGCGACGCGTGCTGAGCGGCAGCTGAGCCAGGCGCTCACGGTCAGCGCGCACAGGAAAGTCCCAAAATGCCGCCGGATGCAGGATGCGGGAGGGTAGTTCGCGCGCCTTGGCTTCAGTCAACGCACGGGTAGGGCGTGTACTGCGAGTCGAAGCGGCAGGAACTGTCGGCTCGGCCGAAGCGGCAGTCTGCGCCTTTGCGAGAAGAAAGTCGGCGAACGAGCTCTGTGGTCTAGGCGGAGTGTAGGATGTGCTTGCAGCGCCCTGACGCACCCGATCGAGGAACTCCGACGACGCGAATACCACGGGTAGCGTCTTCTTCTTTTGTCGAGCCGGATGGTTGACTTGCGCTGACGTCTCTTGAGCAAGCTGCCGCTCGAATCGCTCGAAAGCGCGCCGAATGTTGTAGTCCGTGACATTGCGCGCGCGCTTCGGATACCGTCGGAAAGCCTCGCTGTCGGAGCCGGTGGCCGGAGTGGCTTGCGAACTTGAATCGCTAATGATGATGCTCTTCGGCTGTAAGGCTCCTTCGGCAATGGGATCCGAAGAAGGCTGCGGAGCGCGTGACGTGTTCGATGAGCTGCCCATGTCCACATCTGCTCGGTGCGTGAACTGCCTGGAAGCGGGGATCATTACCACAGGGTCGCCGTTGCCATGATGTGAGGATGCAGAAGCGCTGCGCGAGGTTTGGCCAGGAAGCCTTGAGAATGAGCGCGTGTAGGCCTCATCGGCGGACGAGTCGTCGACCACAACGATCACGGCGTCGTCGTCGGCTTCCATGTCTTGAAGACGTGCTGTGCCGACACGTGCAGGCACATGATGACGCGGCGGAGCTGATTCGGTGCCGCTTGTCTCTTCTGTATCCGCCAAAGTGTGACGCGGGAGAGAGACACGCTCGGAGTGCTGAGGCGCTCTCGGTGGCTCGGACGTATCCGACTCGGCAGTGTGCGGCGCGTCGGAGGACTCCGACTGCACAACGAGCTTGGATGATGACGGGTGTGGACGGACCGGCAAAGGCGCCGTATTGGAGCTGGCAGATGCGCTCGGTGGTTCCGGCTCGGGCGTTGCCGCGTCATCGAGTTCATCATGATCGTCGTAAGGCAAGAATGCCGCCGACGTATTCAGCGCGCCTCTTCGCGGGACGGCCGTGCGGGGGACGTACCTGACGTGAGCTCCTTGGGGCGCCACGGACATGGAAACACTGCGCGATTGGCTTCGAGCCGCGGAGATCATTGCTACGTCGAAATCATCGGATCCGTCAGATTCATCGGCCTCGTCTTCGAGTTGGTCCGTTTCGGTTTGTACGAAGCCACGAATGAATCTCGTGCTCGCATCGCTGTCGGAGTCAGCGGAGACTGCGCTTGACGAGGTCGTGAATTGTCTGGCCTGGGTTGGAAGTCTGGAGGAGGAGGGTCGCGCGAGCGACGTTCGCGACTGGTGGTCGACCTGCGGATTCCGTTCAGATTCGTAGCGCTGATTGTACAGATCAGCTAATGAGGTGGGCTGTGGGTTCCTCTGGCGATGGACAACAGTGTCCTCTGCGCGGACGTCGGTGGTAAGTGTCGGCGCGGAAGTGCTTGGATCGGGCACACCAAGTTCTTCTGCGCGCCGAGCATTGTAAAGGTCGACGAGGGACGTCATGGCAGAAGGTGACGAGGCGCAAGACGAGAGCGTCGCGCGAGCATGCTAGGCTGCATGCCGCCCTGACGTGCAAGTGCAAGCGAAGTGGCTCAGCTGAGCAGCGCCTGCATGACCGAGGAGGTGCGGATGAGATGCAGGTGCGGGATGCGGGAGTAAGGTTTCCCACCGAGCTTGAGCTTCAGGCAGATTGGCGCGCTCTGGAAGGATTAGGTTAGGAAATGAAGCGATGATGCAGCGCGTGCGAAAGTCGCGAGGTAGGGCGGCGATCCTGACCGGCGCTGCGCGTCGCGATGTGGAAGACGGTTGTATGAAAGGGAACGAAGCAATGACGCAGGTGAGTTGGTGTTGTTCTCTTACCCTTGCCTAGCAGGTGAAGAGCCCGGCTTTTATTCGCACTGACAAATGCTCTCTGGGCGGTGGGAGCGGCTCGCGTTTTGGGCAGCAGCACGCGCCGCTCTTCTCCTCACCCTGAAATCATCGACAGCGCGCCCTGCAGCGCCATCTCCGCTTTCCGAGAAATCGCACGAGCTTTGCTGGGCTCTCATCTTCACAGGTCGCGCCAATTCGACTCGGCCACGCCCTCCGCAGTTCACCTTTCTATCCTCATCGTTCATCCTGACGCGAGCACCTATTGCATGAGGAGACCATTGCATATTATGACGGGCCGATACATTCCTAATACGTCTACATCGAATTCTAACCATGGCCTCAGGGGCGAGCCGCGTGATTGGCCAGCATCTCGAGCTCTTCATACTCGCCGGTCTTGCGGCACATGTCGTAAAAGATGCCTTTGCGCTCCAGCAGCGCTGCAGGCGAATCGTTCTCGGCGATACGACCCTTGTCCATGACCAGAATGCGATCATAGTCGATGATCGTCTTGAGTCTGTGGGCGATCGTGATGATCGTCGTCTTGTGCCTCGCGTCGGCGTCCAGCGGCGACCGCAGCGTACGCTGGATCTGCGTGTCCGTCTCGAAGTCGACGGAAGCGGTTGCTTCGTCCATGAAGATGATCGATGTCGAGCGCAGCAGCGCCCTTGCCATCGAGATCAGCTGTCTCTGCCCCTGCGAGAAGTTGCTGCCCCCTTCCGACACCTTGGTGTCCAGGCTGAACACCGTGCTTCCTCCGCCGGATGGTAGGACCGAATTGACCGCCGTCGATGATGAAGACGATGCATGTGCCTCCATAGGCACTTCATGAATCGACCCGGCGCGGCTCGGGAGCAAGCTTGGCGCAGCCGTGTTGATCGGGCTCGTGCGCAGGTTGACACGGCGAAGCGCCAGCAGGCATTCCTCATCTGTGCGCTCACCGAAAGGGTCCAGATTCTCGCGAATCGTGCCACTGAACAGCACTGGATCCTGCGGAATGATGGTGAGTCGACTGCGCAAGTCGTCGAGTCCGATCTTGCTGATATCGATGCCGTCGATAACGATCGAACCCGCTTCGTACTCGACAAAGCGGAAGAATGCAAGTGCCAAGGTACTCTTGCCCGAGCCCGTGCGTCCAACCAGTCCCACCTTTTCGCCCGCTCCAATGCTGAAATCGACACCGCGCAGCACTGGATCCAGATCGGGCGCGTACTTGAGCACCAAGTTGCTCACCTGGATCCCGCGGCTGTCGATCTTGGACGGCCATCCGGGTGGCGGACGGTGGTCCTCGACGACTGCGGCCGGCTCCTGTGGCAATGCTAGGTATTCGTGCATCCTCTCGACCGAATTGAGATCCATTTCGAAACCCGTCCAGCAGCGGCAGAGCCAGTACAGCGCGAGCACGAGCGTCTGCGCCTGAGTGATGGCGATACCCGCCAGACCGGCATCGATGCCGCCCGCCAGCGACAGTGCCGAGGCACCGAAGACGGTGAAGGCGCCCATGACATCGAAACGCAGCATGAGCCAACGGTTCGCCATCCAGAACAAGTTGTAGCAACTCTGCGTTGCGTCAAGTCGTCGGAAAAGCGTCTGCATGAAGCGTTCTTGCGCACCGTACGCGCGCACCGTGGCAATTCCGTTGAGCACCTCGGAAAAGGACTGGAAGATGGGGGATCGAGTCACCGATTCGAGGCGCCGCAAGTCGCGGGCTGCCGAGATGTACGAGACCGACGTACGGTAGTAGGCGTAGGTGATCAGGAACAGGAACGGCACGAAAGTCGGCACCGTGACTGCCATTGTGCCGATAGAAAAGACGCACGAGGCGGAGAAGAGCAGGAGGAAGCGGATGTTGCCGAACAGCGTCGTGTCGACCGTCTCGACATCCTTGGTGAAGCGGTTCAGGATGCGTCCTGTTGGCGTTTGGTCGAAGAAGCGCGTAGGAGATCGCACCACGGTCTTGAGCATGCGGCTGAAAAGCTTGTTACCCGCACCAATGGCGCCAATACCACCGACCAATGAGGAGAGGATCATTGTGGCGTAGCCGAGCATCAGGATGCCAACGTACACGCCCAGGTACGGAGCAACATTGGTCCTCGGATCGGCGAACCAGGCTTGCTTATCGGATCCGCCTCGGTGCTCGTACGCATTGCCCCAGAACGACAGCCAGTATTTCTCCAACACGTCGGCGAAGCGGGACACCAGCGTCGTGAGCAGCACAAACGTGACAAACAGCCAGCCAAAGGCCGAGAGATACGTGACGTAGATCTCGCGCTTGACGCGGCCCGTCGACTTTCCTTCGGCGCTGACAAGCTTGCCTCGTCCCGGCGCGCTTGCCGCACCGCTCTTGCCCGGGTCCTTCTTGCCTCCATCGTCCGCCTGCGCCTTCGCCTGTGCATCAACTGCGGAGTCTTTTGCTTCTTCCTCCTTCATCTGGTCTTTAGCAGCCTGTTTGCCCTTGACGTTCGGGCTTTCGGGCGAGGATAATCCCAGTACAGCTGGCGAGAGAAGTCCCGCCTCCCTGAGCTCTGATGGCGAGCCGCTGGCCTTGATGCGGCCGCCATCGAGCATAACAACATGCTCGACATGGGAAAGTACAGCATCGACATGATGTGTCACCAGCACGACCGTGCGACCCTTGACGAGCTCGCCACAGAGGCACTCATCCACCAGCCTCTTGGCCGTGTGGGAGTCGACGGCAGCCAGCACATCGTCGAGGAGCAGGATCGGAGAGCGAGAGTACACTGCGCGCGCCAGCGCCACCCTGGCCTTCTGCCCACCCGAGAGCGAGACGCCGTTCTCGCCGACTTCGGTCAGGTCGCCCTCGGGGAACGTCTTGAGATCCGGCTCCAAGCAGCAGCAGCTGAGCACAGCATCGTATCGGGCCTGATCAAAGTACTGGCCAAAGACGATGTTATCACGGATGCTCATGGTCTCGAGCCAAGCCGTCTGGGAGCAGTACGCCACGCCGCCACTGAGCAGCCGCAGAGGACGCTTGGGCAGCAGGACCGAGCCCTCGAGCAGCTCCATCTCGCCCATGATTGCGGACAAAAGCGAAGACTTTCCGGATCCAGTCGGACCACAGATCAGCGTCATTTTGCCAGGCGGCGGTCGCAGGTCCAGGGTCGTTAGGTGGAAAGGCTTTACCTCTGTTTCGGTCTGTTCGTTTTTCGTGGCAGTCGCCGTCTTAGGGTCCTTAGCCTTTTTCCAGAATTGGAGCCTAGAGAGGAGGGAGCGCTTGGCGGCCGGCTGATCCTGCTTCTTCGAAGGCTTCGCAGCGTGCCAGCGGAGCGTTGCATCGCGCAAGACGATTGTTCGGTCGCTGTGAGCGGTTTCGTTCGGCTGGCCTTGTCCGTCGTGCGCCAAAGCGTTGTCCACGACCCAGCTGGGCACCTCGTCCTCCTGCAGGAACGTGTTGATGCGATCCACCGAAACCTTGGCCTGGAAGATCATGTTGATGATCATAGGCAGCACGCTGAGCGGATTCTTGAGCATCCCGAACAGGGCGATGGCCGTGAACCCTGTCGCGACATCGAGCTGTTTGCCCTCGATGAGCGTGTACGACGCGAACGCGGTGATGGTAAACGCCAGCGGTACGAGCGCAAACGACGCGATCAGCCCGGCCATGATCCACGCATTGCGGTAGAGCCACTTGACCTCTTCCTTTCGGGCGCTCAAGATGCGTTTGGACCAACCCTGCTCCCAGGCGAAGAACTTGATGAACCGGATCGATGTAACGAGCTCGTTGAGCACCGTGATCCTCTTGTCGCGCGCCTTGAGGAGCCCTTTGTTGTTCTCGTACGACATCATCGTGAAGCGCTGTTGGAGTGGCATCAAGATGAGCGCAGGTCCGACGCCGGTGAACGCCGACCAGCCGAGGAGTTTGTAGAGGAATGTGGTGGCAATCGCCAGCTCCAACGGGGCCGAGTAGCCCATGTACAACGCGGTCACCGTGGTGGAAATCGAGTTGGCATCGGTTGCCATGAGATTGACGACCTTGCCGACGCTTGCGGCGCTCTTATCCTCCTCTTCCTGCTGCTGCTGCTTTGCTTTCTTGGCCGCTTCGGCGTCTCCATCCTTCTTGTCCGTCTTGGCGTCCATGTCCGCAGATTCAGGCGCCTGCTCGGCGTTGGCAGTGGATGTGGCGTTCTGCAACGAGCCCGAGATGTCTTTGCGACGGAGCGCCTTGTCGTAGATTGCCAGGGTGAGCTCAGTCTTGATACGGACGCTGGCACGGCGGCTATAATACAGATGTTGAAGGTCGGTTTGCGTCTTGACAAGCGAAGCGAGCAGGGCAAAGACAGCGAACAAGAAGGCGCGTTTCCTTGCCGGATCGATAGAGTCGGGGACCGACTTCATCCAGCCCAGCATCGGCGTGGCATAGAGTTGGAACGTGCCCTGGATACCTGTGGGGATACTCGCCTCAGCCGAGCCGCGGGAGAAATCGTGGGTGAAAACGAAGGCCTCCGTTGCAGGCGCGCTGGTCTGAAGGGAGTCCAGAATTTGCTTGAGGAAGAAGGGGCTGGCGTACGCCAAGCTGTAGGAAACGATGGTGAGAACAAAGTCGAACGCCATATCCCTCGAGTTCATCCAGAAAACCTGGCGCACCAAGTTGGGCTTCTTTGCCTCGGCTCTCTTCTCGGCTTTGGCGCGTGCATCGGCACTGGCCGTTTGGGCTTTTGCCTTGGCTGCAGCATACGCTTGGTCATCCTCGCGTTGGATCGTTCGCATCTTGTCCAACAGCACCTGTGACTTGGACAGCTTGCTAAGCTGCGACACATCTGTTTCTTCGAGCGGCCTGGTGAGCGCGACGTTGATGATGGGATTGAGCCAGGAGAAGCTGACCCACTCCCAGAGGGTGCAGTAGTCCTCGAGCGGTGGAGGGTATCCGTTCCTGTCGTACTGCGGATTGCGGTCGTATACCTGAAGTGGCAGGCTCATGATGAGCGCAACCGCAACAAGGCTCAGCGCAAGAGAGGCGATGCTGAAGGCCGGTGGAGCTAGCTGGCTGCTATGTGGTGGATCGAATGGAGGATGGGGAGTGGATAGAATCGAGTGGTAGCCTGACACAGCCGAGCCGGCCAGTTGAAAGGCATAAAAGGCGAGCAGAGCGTACGGCGGTGTGGGCGACGGGAAGAAGCAAGAAAGGATGCTGGCGTAGATCCAGGCAGGTGTTTGGAGGGCGGCTGCAAGCTGGAGGCCCGCCCCTGATTGGAAGCCGGCTTCCTTGCCCAAGCGGCTGGCGAGGCGAGGGCTCAGCACGGTGATGAGAAGAGCAGCCGTCCATGCGACAAGGTGGAGGACGCTGATTACCGAGAGTCCAAAGTGCACTGCAGCAGGCTGTTTCGGCACATCCGTCGTCAGGCTGAGGATCTGCGAGTCGGAGCGGCCTCCCAAGAGCGGCGAGGTCTCGGAGTCCCACGCCTCGTCAGATGCAGCAACCTTGCTGCGTCGCGAGCCGTCGGCCTTCCCGACGTGCGTAGACCCATATCCGTCGGGCGAGGAGTCGGCATTGGGACCAGCACCGTTCTGCTTGTCCTGTTCTTTCGCTTCCGCCTCCTGACGATCGTACTCGTGAACGTCTTCAGGCGTAACGAAGGAAGTGAATATGCGACCCAACAGCGACGGCTTCGAGTGTGACGATTTGGGCCAAAGCCGCAATGCCAGCACGACGACGACGAAGGCGGCAGGAACGTAGGCGTCAAAGACGAGTGCGACTGACTGGTATCCTTGGACGATCGGTGTCGTTGACGGAGTACCCGCCATTGCACTTATGTTGGTCATGGTGGGGACCGTGTTCGGAAGAGCGCCTGCTGCGCGAACGTCAGCAGCAAGCGGGCTGTCGTCCGGCGAACTGGATCGTGATGGTGATATGAGCGAGTGGCGGACGGTGTGGGCCAGCGTTGTCGGAAGAGAAGCCAAATGTGGTGTATATAGAGTCGTGATGCTGAGCTGGCGGAAGGCTCGACGACTCGAGCGTCGGCTCGGCTATGGTGATTTCAGGCAATGCAAACCAGGGCCCTGGGGTTGCTGAGTTTTGTGCCGGCTCTCGTTCGTCCCCCGCGCCGATGCGGTGACTTTTTAAGGCTGCATGTGGAAAAGGAAGGATGCCCACTGCAGCTCATGTCGGGTCGGAGCGCGCCGACGCGTTCACTTTGGCCCCCTGGCTGAGCCTGCCGTTCAGAGACCACATGGTTGCTCAGTTGTCGCCATGACGTCCTGGCAATGACCCCACTCACACCGCCTCATGATGTCGTCGCTCTGGAGCGGGATAGCAGCACCGATCTGTGGGAGGATTGTACGATGTTGAAGCTTTGGTGCAAGGAACACCGTGTCTTGTTCCGACCGGCGGCTCCACGGAAGGGCGAGCGGACAGGCGAGCAAAGCCCGATTGAAGTAACAGTACTGCACAGCAACACCGACTCAGCCGCAAAGCCGCGGGGCGGAGCACTCGTTTTCCCACTGCAAGGGACCATCTGCCGTGCATCTCGAGACATGCCGGCCATCACGCGGGCAGAGTCGAGTCACGGAACATGAACTCCATAGCTAGCCGACCCTGGGCTTGTTGACAGCCCGGGCACAGCTTTTGCTCACACGACGTGGTCCTCCAGCCCCAGAACGCGGCAACGATAAGGCAGAGGCAGCTTCGGCACGCGTCCTTCCGACCTCGCATCGAGACGAACCTCCGCGGATCCAAGGGGCTGTGAACGCCCTGGCTTGTGGCTTTGAAAAGGCTGCAACAGCAATCTCCAACATCTGCGGCCATAGAACCTTGAAAGC